GAGAGCCCTGGGAGTCATTGCTGTAGGGCAGGAGCAGGGCCTGCCGATGGGGGCGCTGATGGCTCTATGGTGATTGGTATTTTGCATTTTACAGGTGTACTTTTTTTAGCTTAGCACAACCTTTTGTTATTATTGTTATTCAAACTCACCCAAGGATATTTTCCCTTGATTTTAGAGAGTAAAAGGGGGGCGAGGGGTGTGGAGGGTGTGAGAGAGGGAGAGAAACATGAATGTGAGAGAGAGACCCATCGATCGGTTGCCTCCTGCATGCGCCCCAACTGGGGCTGGGGATAGAACATGCAACTCGGGTATGTGCCGTTGATGGGGAATTGAACCCTCGACCCTTTGGTTCGCGGCTGATGCTCTAACCACTGGACAGGACAGTGCAATCTCTTTTTATCTCCACACAGGCTTCCAGATAGGCTGTTGAAAAGAAAGGTTGGTGTGCAGGGAAGACCCTGGGGCCCAGGCCTGGTCCTTGAGGGTGGGCGGGGGCCCAAGGAGCTTGGAAGCAGAGGCTTTGGCAGGAGAGTCAGTGACATATGTGGGGAGCCCTGGGGACCCAACCAGGCGAGCGCTGGCAAGGAGAGCAGACAGTGTTAACCCTCGCTGCGCCACACTGCCTGGCCCTCGGGGAGGGGCCAGTGGCTGGGGTCTGTGCTCTGGGTCACGGGGACAGGAGAACTGGAAGGAGCACTGCGCTCCTGGGAGTGGCTGCACATCTTGGATCTTCTTGCATCTTTGAGGGTCTCTCTGTGCCTGCTTCCATGTGGTCTCCTCATTCTCTGCCTCCGTCTCTCTGGGCCTCTAGAAGGGGACAGCGGGTCTCCGCTCTGGCTAACGGCACAATCTGTCAATCTCTGCCGCCAGCCTGGCTGGAAGCCCCCCTCAGCCTGAGCCCGAGCCCTCTCTCGCCCCAGCCCCTGGCCTTGAAGCCTTTGTCTCCTAAGGCAGCCTCCCTTTCTTCTTTCCTCTCCACTCACCTCTCCTCAGCTCAGAGCCCATCTCCCATCTTATTATGACCTCCGACCACTGCCCCCCCCTCCAGGCTCTTCCCTCCCCCATCCATCTGTCTTCCCTGAAGCTCTCTTCTTTGTGTCCACCCATCTGTCACCACCAGCTCAGGCCCACTCCCCTCCCAGCCACACCCACCTGGCCTCTCTCCCCTCGGGCGCGGGCTCGCTTCCTTCCAGCTCTCCCAGGCTCCTCTCCTCCTCCAGCCCTACTAGGTGTCCCCACCTCCTATATCCCATTACTTCTTTGTCTCTCCCCCCAGCCCCCTCCGCCCTCTTGCCTCTGTTTTGCCCTCCTTTCCTCTAGTTTCTCTAATTTCCCTTCGTGGATGTGAGAGCAGAGACAGTGAGGACTCCAGGGTCCTAGCCCCCAGCCCCTGAGCAGCCAGCCAGCCTGGGACAGAGACGGCAACATTTACTCACCGTTGCATCACCCTCTCAGGCCTCCTGAGATGCCCCCTGCGCTCCTGCTCGGTTCTCTGCCTGGGACTGGGCTACGGCTTCTTTTTTTCCCCTCCACGCAGGCAGCGGGAGCTCCCTCCAATCCGACCGAGCCCTTTCAGACCCGGACCTTGCAAGGAAGGGACTCCACTTCCCAAGCTCAACTGTCAGTGACTCTGGTCAAGCAGGCCAAGCTTCGTTTGCGGACGGGATGAGTGACAGGCCTTTCCTATGACATTGTGCCACAATGGCCTCCCATTTCCACTGTGTCTGAGTTGGAGGGCAGTAAGTGTCCCTCGGGCTTCCCTCTCTGGATTGACCCCAATACCATAGAGAATTCATGAATTATCAGCCTTTCAATCAGCCCTGCCCTGAGGAGTTTAAGATGAAAGAAAGGAAGGCCGCACAGAGGCAGACCTCAGTGCCAGCAGAGGACGGACCTCAGAGAGCTGGGACTCCCACCATGTAGATGGGCACCCTGGGCCCGAAGCAGGGGAGGGCCCTTAACTAAGTCAGGGCATCGGGGCAACTGGGAAATCTGCTCCTGGCCTCTTGGCACCTCGGAAAGCCCCCTGACTGGCCCCATCCAAAGCAAAGCCTTTACCCTCCGACTCCACAGACCTTCACAGCACTGGTTCGCTTTGCAAGGAGCACGTGTGGCTGCTGCCACTGGCGGTTTCATCTTGCGTCGTGTCCCTTCCTGCCATCTAGACCTCGGAGCTCTGGTTTCTGAGGGAAGGTGGCTTGCCCCATACCCTCTTATAAGGCTGGGGCAGTGCCTCCCCACAGCCATGCTCTGGGAGTTGATCACTGCCACTCTGCCAGGGCAGATGTAAGCCACATCGTTCCTCTGGGCTTCTGTCCCCACCTGCCAAACAAGTGAGACCCTGCCCAGAACTTCTAAGGTCTTATCATACGATCCCTGGAAGAAACTAAGTCCTATTGAATGAGGCAGAACCTCAGGGCAGGACACCAGACTCTGGATAAAAAATCTCCCCCAGGACAGGCCCTCAGGAGCAGCGGGCAAGGCGTGGGGAACAGAAGGAAGCCACCAGGGCTGAGGGACAAGGAGTCACAAGAGAGGCTGGTCCCGGCTTTCAGCAGACGGTGGGTGCAAGAGAAGGTGCAGTGTGAGCCACTGGGAAGGAGCAGGAAGGGAAGGAACCCCTGTGGGAAAGGGAGGAGCTGGGAAATAAATGTCAGAAGGCACAGGGGTGAGCTAGGTCTAGAGCAAGCAGAGGCGGCTACTCTCCGGGTCACAAGGTACCTGGTGAGGAGCCAGACCAGTCTCAGAAAGACTGCCCCAGGGGGTGCCCCTTCCAAGGAGCTGGCCTCTCCGAGAGCCATAGAGCGGCCAAGCCTTTGGTTCTGTTTTTGGGGAGGGGAGAGGATAGGGAGGTGGGACAGCATGAAAGGCTGAAGCCTTGTTGAGGGTTCTCCTGGGGGCAGGCTGGCTACTGAAGGCCCTGCAGCTTGGATTTCCGTTCCTGTCCATCGTCCCCTTGATTCTGCCCGCCCTCTGCTCAGCCCCCTCACTGGTACCCAGTCACTTCTCTGCTCCCTGAAGCCACAGCAAAGAGAGGAAGCGGCGCTGTCCGCTGGGAACCTGTTGGCTCAGGGAGGTGTGGAGCCAGCCCAGAAGCCGCGGCAGCTGCTCTCAGCTCGCTCAGCTCCCGCCAGCATAGCCCGCTTCTCCAGCTAAGCCTGGAGGAGTGTGTGTGTGTGGGGGGGAGAGGGGGCGTGCGCGGGGAGGGAGAAGCAGCGTGCATGTCCACTGCCCAGAACCCCACACACACCCCTGAGGGAACTTGGAGAAAAACCACCTCCTCTCAGCAGGATTTGAAAAGGTAAGCATCCCCATCAGGAAACTCAGAGGAGGGTTTGGGATTCTGAAAATGTTTAGCTCTTTCCCACCCCTGTGCCCCACCCCACCCCTAAGCTTTTTTCCATCCCTGTGCCCTCCCCTCCGCCCTCCTACCCCCCATATGTGGGAGACAGCCTCTTGGCCTCGGTGAGGGGAGGAGGCTGGCTCTAGCCCCTCCTGCCAGCTCTTCCCCCTCCGCTGACTCAGCCCCTGCCCATCACTTAGCTATGCTGCCACTATAGAGTTCTGCCTCCACAAAGACCCAGGGAACTAGTGTCTCAAGTCCCAAACCACTCTCGTTTTGATCTACAAAGTGCCCACCAACAGAAAGCTATGCTCCCTAGCAGGTCATCCAAGGGCCCTTCTCTACCCGGCCTAGCCGCTCCTGCTGGTTCTTGGGGCTTGGGCACTGAGTAGCTCACCGTTCCGGAATGTGACCGGTGTTTTCTCTTGGCTGTTTCCACAGCCAGCGAATCTAAATCACACAAGTGCTCCTCCTCTGTCGGCCTCCCTGAATGCCACCACGCTGCCCCGAGCCCGGCCGATGCCACCTACCACTCTGGGTCACACCCTTTCTGGAGTATCTGTCTCTCCCCTCACCATCTGGGAGCTACTCCAGGGCTGTATTCCCTTCATCTCTGGACCCTCCAGGATCCCAAAGTGAAGAGAGAAATGGCTGTCAGCCCAACCAGTGTGGCTCAGTGGTTGAGCATCGACCTTTGAACAAGGAGGTTATGGTTTGATTCCTGGTCAGGGCACATGCCCAGTTACAGGCTTGATCCCCAGGAGGGGGCATGCAGGAGGAAGCTGATCAGTGATTCTCATTGATGTGTCTATCTCTCTCTCTCCCTCTTCCTTCCTCTCTGAAATCAATAAAAATATCTTTAAAAAAGAAATGGTTGTCAAATACAAAGGTGGGGAGAAACTGCTAACACTGTCTGAGACAGAACCAGGGCTTCCAGCTGGTGGTGATAGGCCTTCCTCCTGGACAACACCTTTGTGACTCCCAGTCCCATTCCCAGAACAAGGGAGCCTGGGACACATAGCAGGTGGGGTGGATAATCTATTTTAATGAAATCCATTATTTATATATTTACACACACACACACACACACACACACACACACACACACACACAGGGAAAGAAAACAAAAATAGATCTTACAGCTTTAAAAAATGACAACTGAGCACTGTGGGCTGGAGGTGGGATGCCCACCCCACAGCACACCTGCCCACAGATCCCATCCCCCTCCCCTCCTCAGGGCACCCTGGTATTGTTCCTGGCATTCAACCCTTGCCATTCTCCCTGGCCAGGAAGGTGGAGAGGTACAGGTGGGGTGGGAAGTAGAGGGAGGTCCAGGGAGGGAAGACAGAATAGAGGGATGCTGAAGGAGGGTACGTTAGGGTGGATGGACTTAAATAGGAGCAAGAAGCTGCTATCTGTCATCCCAGGATCTGGCGGGGAGAAAGAAGGAACGGGAAAGGGAAGACTGGATGGGGAGCTGGGGAGGTGGGGCAGGGAGGACGTGTTTATCCCTCAGTCTCTTTCTCGAACTTCTTTCTGTCCATCTCAGCCTGAGCCAGGCCCAGAGAAGGTCCAGTGACACACTAGTGGTTTCTGTCCCAGCAGGACAGCTGATCTAGGAGGTGAACCACAGAGCTGGCAGAAGCTGGGGTTCTCCTCAGAAAGACACAGACCCTGGCTCCCGGGGAGCGATGAAGAGGACATCGGCTTTGGCATTGATGCAGTAGGTGATGGCGAGGGAGCAGATGAGGACGCCAAAGCCCACGGCCAGGGTGATGAGCTGCGGGGAGACAGTGCACTCAGATGATCTCGGTGCAGTTTGGGGTAACTGCTTGGGGCTGGGAGGAGGACATCAGATTCCTGGAGCTGGCTCTAAGCACCAAGTACTGACCAATCAGAGCACCAGCTCCGCAGGCTGGAGGCTTAGTCTCCCCTTTTTAAAAGAGAAGTGAGGTACCTCTGTTCTTGCTTCTGTCTTGTACTACTTACTGGAAGGCAGGACCCTGAACTGGGGTTCTCTCGTGGCAATTACATGCCTGACTGCCTTGCTTCAGGTCCTTGTCAATACTGACTGCCTCCGCCGGGGTAGGCCTGCCTGGGGCCACAGGGCTAGGAGCGTCCCTGGGTCTCTCTGAGAGCATAGCTCCAGCAAGAGCACAGATTCACACTCTCAGCGGAGACAAGCTTCCTGCGGGGACGTCCTCGCTGACAAGGAACAGCTCTGCAGCAGGTTTTTGTGGCAAATCTGGGCGGTGGGGGAGGAAGGAGTCAAACAGGTCTCTGCCAGCACCTCCCCCCATCTCACCTCGAGCTCTTTGCTGGCTATGAGAAATATCCGGGCGCGGATGTCTTTCCAGCGGCTCTCGGTCCACGTAGAGTACTCGGTGGAGCCCCAGTGCCCGAGTTCGAAGGCAGGAGACAAGGCCCTGACCAGTCGGGCCGTGGAACGCACACAATAGGGGAACCGCTCTGTCCCGTTGGGGCTCAGCGGGCCCTGTACCCACATGTACTCATACAGCTGAGGAAGACAGGCCAGAGCCGGGGCTGAGGCGACCCTTCCTCACTCTCTCCCTTCACCCTTTCGCTGGCCCTTTCCACTTAGGCTACTGCCTGTTCAACACCCTCATTCAAAGGGCTGCCTCCCGCCACCTCTCCATCCCAAGCCCGTGGGTCCAACTGGGCCTAGGAGAGCCTCCAATTTCCCAAGGGAAAGGGACCCTCGGGGCACCTCCGACACCCACTACCACTCACATCCTTGTTTTCATTGGGGACTTTACTTGGATCCTGGCACTGCTCTCGGGTAAAGTCGACCACCTTGCCAGTCAAATTTGCCAAGGCATACTGGACAACGTAAGTGGTGTTGGTGGGGCTGGAGACGGCGATGTAATGCTGCAGAGGCCCGTCGCCTGGTTGGGTGCCACGGGGAAAGGGGATGTGGTGGACAGAAGGTGCAGGGCAGATGGGCAGAGACGGGAAGAGCCCAAGATTGGCCGGAGCCAGAAGAGAAACAGGAAGAAAGGGAGACGAGGGGGGAAGCGAAGAAAGGAAAAAGGAAAAAAAAAAAAAAAAAAAAAGTCAAGATTAAAGCAAAATGCTGACTTTCCCTCTCTCCTGTTTCTTGGCCAGGTCCCATTCCCACGCCAGGTGCTTACCCAAGTAGGACCGCAGGTCCTGCCTGAGGATAGACTGGAACCACGAGTTGTTGGCTTTAACCAGGAAGCCATAGAGCAGGCGGGTAACCTAGGATGGATAGTGAGGAGAGAGAGCTGTGACGTGGAGCCCAGGGACTGAGTGCATAGTGAAGGTAAAGTCATGAGACAGAAACCAGGCTGGCCAGATGGATTCTGGGTGGAGGACGGTGGCTGGCTCACGAGGCCCAATTGACAGCTCTTCCAGGCACAGACAGGCCGCTGAATTCCCAGGTGTGGGAGACATAAAGGCTGGGGCGGTCTGAGCATAAATGGGCAGAAAGAAGCCAGGACCCGTTTGTTCTTACTGTGTGGGGATCGGCTTCAATAGTGTCCCTGGAGTTGGTTCCTCCTGCAAGCTGGTACAGTGCACGTCCCAGCACCGTGGCCACGTCTGCAAGGGCCTGGGGGAGGTGAGAGAGGGGCTGAATGGCCCACCTCTTCTAACCCCAAACAGGACCATTCCAACCACTGCACTGTGACCCCCCGCTCCCACCAGCCCGGGCCAGTGCTACCTTGGCAGTGTCTGTCACAAAGTTCAGGTCCTCTTCAGGGCTCTGCTGTCCAGGGTAGCTCACATTGATGTTCTCAGCAGTGTCGTAAACGCTCTGGTAGTAGCTGCCGGGGAAGCCAACAAGAACCTTGGCTACGCTCAGCCAGAGCCCTGCCCCTCCCTCCTGCCTCTAATGCGGCAACGTGGCATTTCATTTTTCATCAGCCAGGAAGGGTAGAGAGATTAGGGTCCCATTCTGAAGAAGGTGTGGAGAAAGGGGAGGGAGGAGTGGGGGTGGCAGCTGTTTGTTAAATACAAAGCGTTTTCTGACAGACGAGGCAGAAAAGGTGAATGAAATCAGAACGCAGGACTCTCCTCCCCAAGAGATCTCTAAACGTAGGAGACACTCCTGCGGCGTTTGGTGGCGGCAGAGGAGGATGGCTTCCGGCGAAGCCTGCCACGGGGCATCAGAGCAACTGTGGGTTGTCCAGTGAGCATTTACACCGGGGGGGCTGCAGCAGAGGGCAGCAGCACATCTGCTCACGGACACAAACACGACGCTGAGTCAAACCTCGCCGCTCCTTGGGGAGCCCCAGGAGACGGACCATAGAGGCAAGGCTAAGAGAAGAGTGCCCAGCCTTTCCTGTCCCTAAACGCCTGTCCGCCTAAGTCTGAGATGTGTTCAATGATGACCACCCTCACCCCGAAGTATAATAGATTGTCCTAATGGCCCAGAACTGTCGCTGCCCAAGATAAATGAGAAGCTGCTGCTCGGCTGTGGTGGGCGAACCTGAGATAAAGCATTTTCACTCAGAAACGCCTCTGGCCTGCTGGGAAGGGAAGGAGGCTGGGGGCGTGGCAGTCCAGCCTGAGGAAGAAGGTCTCTGCCCCCCCGCGGGCTCAAGAGAGAGGCAGTTCAGAGGTGTCTAGGCCCAGGAGAGAGGTGGCTAACAGGCCTCACCGCTCATTTCTGGAGCTCCATCCCCTGAAGGGGGATACTATACCCTCACACTGAACCACATGGCAAGAACATGCGGCATTTCAGAGTACGGTCTGCAGCACCCCCGGGTGGGCCTAACAGGGCCAGCTCTCCGTCCTACACCTTGAGAACCCCATCATCATGCCAGCGCTCTGTTTGAGATGATGCCTTCCCTGGGGAAGTCAGGCCCCTAGAGACTTGGGGGAAGAGGAATCACAAGCAGGGATGACTGCAGGAAAGAGCTATGGGGAGAATCGTTTTCCAAGACGAACATCCAGTCAGATGAGGGACCAGGCTACATAGAAATCGGTCACTGAACAAAGAACACAAGGGGTGGCTGCGGAGAGGCGGTGTGGGGAGAGGGGAGAGCGGTCATCTTTCTCGACACGGAGACCTCTCTCTATGGACCCGGCTGCTGCACAGACGCCCTGAGAAGGAAGAGCATGCACGTCGGCCCCTCTTACCGGTTATGGAAGGCATTAGCATGGTCAGCGAGGACAACACCAGAGATGTTTCGAGCTCGAAGAAACCGCTGCAGAGAAGACGGTGGGAGAGGCTGGGACTGGTTCAGCCTCCGGAGGACGACAGGGACACCGGCAGCACTCTGCTCCAGTGTGGTCAGGAGGCGCTCCACCTGGGATGGGGGCGGAGGGTTAACTCAGGGGAGACTGGGGAAAGGCAAGCAGGAGGCCTTTTAGATCTGAAATGCATCCTACTTCAAGTGGCCGGCTTGGGGAGTTGCCTTAAGCCCTTGTAGACCTAAATGCCTCAGGCATTTGGGATCAAGGCCTCCTGAACCTCCTGCAACTCCCACCGTCCTTTTTGAATGATGGCCTAATGAGGGAGAGGCCTGCGTTTTCATATTTACAGGTAAACCCCACTGTCTGCAGAACTCTGCCTCATCCTCAGTGAAAGCTTTGCCTTTTTGTTGTGCAGACTCGCAGGGACAAGTAATAATACAAAACAGGCAATCCAGGTGGTAAGGGCAGTAGAAGCTCAGAGAGGGACAGCGCTAAAGCTGCAATGGCAGGAAGAGACCTCACGGAAAAAGAGGCCTACAGCTGGGCGTTGAGAGGAGGGAGGAGTTTGAACAAGTAGTGAGGAAAGTGGAGGGCATTTGGGGTTGGGAGTCAGACATGACAGGAATGGGGCAGCATGGCCTGGACAACTGGACCTGGAGGGCAGCAATTAGAGAAGGGAGCCAGTCACTACCCTGTCCTCAACGGGCAGCAATAGCTGCGAGGCGCCAAATGGTCAGAGAACTGCCGTCCCACGGAACCAGTGACAGTGAGCTCGTGGTTCTTGCTGGGGAGCTGCAGCAGCCACGGTGTTCACCCTTTTAACCAACACCAGCTTCCGGTCCGGTCTCTCAGGCCTGGGGGGCAGTTGGGGAGAGGGCCAGGACAAGGAGGTGCCCCTATTCTGAGCTGTGGCAAAGAGAAGTGAGGGGAGAGATGCTGAGATTACCTGGGTCTGTACAGACTGGTTTTTCTGAGACACGGGATCTGTGTGCATCCAAAGCTCTAGTGACTCTCTTAAGGCCACCTGGGGAAGGACGAAGAAACAACACTTATAATAGGTCTGCTGTTGTGGGAGAAAGGAGTGGGGTCAAAAGAGAAGGCAAGGGAAGAGGAGGTGATGCCTGCAGTGAGGACAACAGAACAAAAGAGGAGGGGACGCTGAGCAGAAAGGAAGGGGCGAGGACACATGCTGCACACCTGTCTCAGCTCCACGAACGAGTCGATGTTGTCTAACGGCACAGGGAACTTGCCCCTCTCCATATCATAGACCATCCTCGAGCTGCCAATGTAGTCAAACGTTTCCTGAGGGGTAGAGACGGGAGGGGAAGGGAACGGAGCGACTGAAAGGGGTAGGGCAGCCTTGGCTCCTTTGAAGCTAGATCAGAGCTCTCAGCACAAAGGCCACTGTCTCATGCACCTCAGCTGCAGGCTAGCTTCACAGTCATGTGGCTTTCCTCCTCCCTACTCCGCGCCCCAGCTCTGACTCTCCCCCCACACGTATGCACCGCATGACTTTCTGAGCCTCCAAAAGAGTAGAGCAGCCTCAGGAAGGCCTGAGGCAAACATCAGCTGCCATGTGCCGCTTCTGGCCCCTCCAGTATCTCCACCAGCTCAGCCGCAGCTGCTGTTCCTTAGTCCCAGGCCAGGCTGTGGGAGAGTGAGTCAGGAGCCTCGGGGCTCCCGGGTGGAAGTGACAGTAAAGGGGCCCAGGGAATAAAAAGCAGAAGAATGCCTCTAGTAGATGAGATCAGTGGGGGAAGAAGAGGGGACAGTACACCACTTCCAGGTCAGGATGCAGAGGCCTCCTAAAACAGGGGTCTCTGAGGGGGAGATACTTGCAGGCACATGCAGAAGCTCTCTGCTGAATAACAACTTAAGTATTGAGATCGTCCCCAAATGGTGGCCATGCCCACCTTTCTCCTCACCCCCGTTCCCTGGCCACGCCACTCAGCCAGAGCCCTTACCCCCTGGAAGAAGACGAACATGACGTTGCGGGGCAGGGCGGTCACGTCGGGAGCCTTGGACAAAGCTTCAGCTGCGGCCAGCTGGGTGACGAAGGAGGCGACAGCACTCTCAGCCCCGGGGGCCACGTTCCAGAAAAAGGAACGACTGTCCAGCTGGGTCCGGCAGAGAAGGCAGGGAGGAAATGAGGACTTTGAATTGGAAATGAGTACCAGGCCCGGCCCCCTTCCTGTTTCAGTCAAGTGAACACTCATGTGCTGCACTGAGTCCCACCGCCCAGGTCCCTCTCCATTGGAGGCTCCCACCGTGATAACTGCCATGTGTCACCGAGGCCCGCCAGCTCTTCCTGTGCCAGCCCTGCCCACTTTGCTCAGCGGCCAGCGCTCACCTGGGTGGCAGCAACCACAACCTTGTCACCAGGCTCTAACGTCCCAGACGTATTTATGGGCTTAAGCATGCTCCAGACGTTGTAGTCGGACAGGGGGTCACAGACGATTTCTGAGCAGAACAAACAGTGAGAATCAGCTGGTGTCAGGGTCTCCCAGGGAAATAAAAGCAGGCGTGAAGGCCCCTCAGACCAGCGCCCATGGCCTCTGTCAGTCACCTTCTCCATCTCCACACTGGTTTCCCTGCCAATGTCCACTTTAGGGACAAGATGGCATTGTTGAGAATGGTTCCCACTTCTCCCACCAGTGCTCCCTGCCTGGGCCCACTCCTCCCCCACAGGCCTCCCAACACGCTGGTCCCTTGCCTCTGCCCAGCACACCCAGCATGCCTCGGTCCTGACCTACCTGGGTTGATGCTAAAGGTGTTCTGGATGGAGTTGCGCCGCATGCAGGTGACAGTGCTGATGACGGCGTGCATGTGCGAGAAGAGCTGCATGGCACAGAGCGGGAAGACCGGTGCCGAGCCGTTCTGGCTCAGGTTGTGATCTCGGTAGCACTAGAAGGGGAGATGGACCCCACTGAGGCAGCTAGCTGCGAGTCCCTCCCAAACTGCCCAGAAAGGGGAAGGCCCAGCTCTATCCTGAAGCCACTCCCACTCCTGTCCCTGAGTGAGAGTTGTCTGGTACAACCACAGGATCTATAAGGTCAAAGAAAAACTCACTGAGAGCTGTGAAGGGGCACAGACTCAATGGCCCAGTTGGAGGCAGATGAAATTAACCTGCGTCAAGTGACCTGCATCAGCCACTGTTTTAATGTGATTTGATGTAAAGAACACTGAACCGGAAATCAAATGTCCAATTCAAGACAGTTTGCACATCATCTGAGCATGTAACTTTGGATGAATCTAACTGCTCTGTGTGTTAACATGAAGAAGCTAGACTAGAATTAGAGAATATCGGAGGTGAAAAGAACTCCAGGAATTTCTGAACTGAATCTCTCAATTCCTAGCCCAATGCTCTTTTGATCATACGAGGGGTTCTTAACCAGGACTTTCTACCTTGTTTCACATTAAGTATCCTTTACATTTTCTTCCAGTCTAAGCCCTTAATGCAGTAAAGGCAGGAGAGAAATGGGAGAGGGGAATGTAAGAAAGTAAATTTCCTGGCTCTTCTTAAAGCCCATGTCTTTCAGAGGGTGTATGTGTAGACTGAGAGTCCCTCTGAACGAGAGCCCAAAAAAGCCTTCTTTCTACTGGAATTGCCAGGAGCTGGCAGAGTCATTACCTGCTTGATGACATTGGTTTCATTTTCATCTTCAAGAAGAAAGATGGGGAAACTAAAGTCTTCATAAGCCAAGCCATCACCCAGGTAGTTCCACTGTACATTCCTGCAGTGCGCAAACTCTGGCCCGTAGGAGTCGGAGTAAACGCCTGAAGAGGAGGAGGCACAGATGTTGGGACACAAGCACTTAAGGACCGGCGAAGGCGAAGATATTACAGGGTCAGGATTAGGAGCTCCGAAAGAGGAGAACCCAAAGAAGCAAGCATCAACCTGTCACCACCCACAATAGAACAGGCCCCGGTATCGGGGAGCCCTCGGCTGGCCAATTAGGGGTCTGAGCATGTGACAAGAAGCAAGAATGGAAGGTCAGTGGAAGAAGAGGAAACAGGAGGGGAAAGGGATGAATGGCAAAGACCAAGAAACACTATCTTCTGTTTGGGGTGTCAGTTGTTCACACCACACACAGATTACCCTCCCTCATCACGCTCCCTCACTCATACACACACACACACACACACACACACACACACACACACACACGACTGATACAACAATGAGCTCTGGGTGACAGCGAGTTCCAAAAATCCTTCGGGCTCTTACCAAACCCATCGTTGGGACACTGCTCACTAGGAGAAAAGCCCTCAGCGGGACTGGGCTTGGCCAAGGACACTGCCAGACCAGCAATTCGACTGGTGCTCCCCTTCAGCTTCTCCATCACCTTCCTAGAACAGGAGGGAATGACATGAGGGAAGACAGGAAGCTCATCAGGCAGCCTAATGTCCTGAAACAAATGGGAATGAGGGGAATCAAACTGGTGACTCACTTCTTGTCTTTTCAGCCGCTAACGTCTGAGAGAACCAAGACCCAATCTGAGCTCTGGGCTTATCTCATCTACCCTGTGTTTGTGTGACCCTGAGCACCCCTCCTGCCTCCCTGGGGTCCTTACTCACTAGAGTTCTACTTACAAGGTCACCGAGACAATTCCTGTTGACCGTGACCGTTCCTGGTGAGGGCACCCCACCCCTGTGCTGCTCAGACCGGGGAAACTGAGGAAGCTGTCATTCACAGCGTGAGCATTGTCCCTGAACCTCCCCGCTCTGCACACGCTCTCCAGCAGACAGGGGCAGTTGTTACCTGGTAAAGAGCGTGCCCTCCAGCAGAACCATGTAAGGGGGGTTGGGGCCATCGGTCAGCACCCACTGCAGGTCCTCTTCTTTCTCCACCACATGGATGACCCCTGTGTCCCCGCTAATGGAAGCTGCCAGGACAGAAAGGCTCAAATGAAAGCTGACGATTCTGACGATTGACGATTGATGATTGACGATTCTGACTTTGCTCACTGACTCTGCAGATCATCTATCCCCAAACATGTTACAGGACATTTGGGTTAATACAACCACGTCTAGACTTGAACTTGAAAGGCCCCCGTTCCACCTGAGGACTATCAGGAGGGAATGGAGAGCAAAAGAGCCCAAGCAGTCTACTCGGGAGACCTTGTTCACTAATATTCATTTTCTTGCTTTCTTCCCTCAAGTGCATTTAGCCAAATATATGAGATTCTAGGACAGCAGACATAAAGCCTGTAATTCCTCCAGAAAATGGCAGGCTCTAAATCTCTAGCTCAGCCGAAACCGGTTTGGCTCAGTGGATAAAGCGTTGGTCTGAGGACTGAAAGGTCCCAGGTTCGATTCCGGTCAAGGGTATGTACCTTGGTTGAGGGCACATCCCCAGTGGGGGGTGTGCAGGAGGCAGCTGGTCGATGTTTCTCTCTCATTGATGTTTCTAGCTCTCTATCCCTCTCCCTTGCTCTCTGTAAAAAAAAAAAATTAATAAAATATGTTTTTAAAAATAAATAAATAAATAAATAAATAAATAAATAAATAAATCTCTAGCTCATTGTTCTGCCACTGCAGCTTCCTTTGTGAAAACATGTGTAGACTCCATTGGCCTCAGTAGCTTCCCTAGATCTTCATTCCTTTGCCCTATTTGAGAGTAGCTTTACTTGCTTTTGGCCAGTTTTAGGTCAAGTTCACCAAGAGCTCTGAGGTCTCCAGAACAGTGTCCTCACTGCTGGGCCTTAAGTGAATTGGAGATGTGCTGGTATGGATTCCCCTCATTTCTGGGGACCTAGGGTTGTCCTAGGCCCTCGGCTGGTCACCCTCAGCCAGGAGCAGACTGACCCAGGACAGGAAGAAGATAAGCTGTGACACTGAACTTCAAACACCTGGACTCTAACCTGGGTTCCAATGAGTGACTATGTAGTCTTAAGTAACTTGCTTATTTTCTCTGGGCCTTCAGTGAGAAGTTTTCCACTCCTATTTACCTCATCCTGTGGGGACACATGAAAAAAAGAAAGAAAAGAAGGAACTAAAAAAAAAAAAAAAAACCCTACATAAGCCCTTTGAGCACTTTCAAATGGTCCAACAGAAACAGAGCATCATAATCAGAAATCAAATCTGGGTCTATTTCTCCTTCATTTCACCATGCTAGCAATCCTAATCGAAGATATACAGATACAATGAAGACAGGCTTATAAAGGAGTAGGCTGAAAAGGAAACAAGATCTTAATGAGGAAGTGGCCAGAGTCCAGCTCCTCCCGCTGGTTTCTCTGCACTGGCTCTTGGCCACGGGGCTCTGCCTCCCACAGGGCTGTCTAAGAACCTGCAGCAGAGTGACTCATTCCCAAAGGGGGGAACTTGGAAGTCTGAGCTCAGCCCACAATGGAGCTGGCTGTCTTCTACCCACAGACCCAGTTTAAGAACTAAGTCCAACAACAACAACTTTATTTGGAACTGTTTGGAACCAGTTAACCTACTCCCAGCACCTCCTGCGGCCGAGACATGGGACAGTGAACATGGAGTCTAGCTCAGGGAAGGATGGGTAGAAAAGCAGTAACTGCCGCGTGTTCCACTTATCTCCTACCAACCTGAGAGGTTTCAGGAAAGCACACTACTTACTAGCATCATCAATAAACATTTATTAGCTCTGAGCAGGAATATGCTAACTGTTTTTATGGACGTAAAGTGAAATTCAGAGATGACCCATTGGATGACGAAGGAACCAAGATCTGATTCTGTTTCCTGCTTACCTGAAAAACAGTCTGACAGAACTACTTACACTCCCAGAACAAAATCTGAAGATAGCAGGGTAAGCAGAAGGGGAACTGGGATTCAACCTTTAGATCACGATTTTTCCCCCTTTCATAGTTTTATAACCATACTGTCACAGTACTCTGTTTTGGAACACATTTACAAAGCATGAAGACAAATTCAAATGCTTTACTAATTCGTCTTGCAATTATATGGCTTTCTCAATGCCTTCTCTTCAAATAGTTTATTGCCTGTAAAAGGCCATTTTGGTTCCAAAAAGATCAGAGGGCATATTCTGGGCTCCACAGAATATGGGATGTCTTTCTCCTTAGAAACAGCATATTTGTCTATTCAACCTACTGGGTGGTTAAGAGTCCTGGCTTAGAACCTGGACCACCAGGACTCAAATCCTGGCTTCATCACTTAATGAGAGCAGGATAACCTTGGAAAAGTTATTCAACTTCTGTAAGTCTCAGTTTCATCACTTGTAATATGAGATAATAATAGCTACGTCATGAAAATTAAATGAGATGCATGTTTAAGAAGTTTAGTAACACTTACTAAATGTTAGCTCTTCCTAATTATCTTGCCTGGTTTGCCTAACTATCTACCACCTCCCACCCACATAGCATAATTTGTATGCTGAGACTTCTAAGCAGCACTTAGATCTTTATATCTAGCCCACAGACGGAAATATCAACAGCCACAAACACAAACCCCAACCTCAACTCACAGTGGCAGCCAATCTGATGAGTGGCATTGAGCAGACGGACGCAGGGAGCTGTTTTATTTAAAGAGATGTAGATCTTCCTCTCCACGGAGTTTCCCCCACACAAACCTGATCAGAAGATAAAAAGTGTTAGGAAAAAGTTGAGAGATGATAGCATCAGCCTCCATCTTGTCATTAGCTCACTGTACGGCTTGGCTATATCATACTTTCCGCAATAGGACTAATGTCTACTTTTTTCACTTCTTGGGCACATCATAGGGACACCCAGCTATGTGCTTATTACAGAGAGCAACATACAGTGAAGCTAAAAGACAGAAAACTTCATTTGTCAAAGGAAAGGCATTTAAGCTCAGATGTACCAGCTTCTGGTTGCATGGGTGACCACACTTTTACTTATTGCTTCTACTTTTCTGCTCATCTCCAGAGAAGCTACCTCCTTGGATACAGATATGAAGAACAGACAGACATTGAGACTCAATCCCCCAGGACACTCCCTACAACATGGTCATCAAAAAGGCCACAAATTACCGGGCCTTGGGAGCTGAGCACAGTCCCAGGTGAGGAGAGAGAGGGAAAGGAAAACAACAGGGAACTGGCCTAAGGGGCCTCCTGAGAGGGGACCTACTATAGGTGTATCAAAGTCACGCACAAGAAGAATTGGAAGAAGACATAGGTCACACACCTGTCAGTTAACCTAGCACCAGTAGCTGATCTATGTGTGGGGCGGCTATAGTTTCTCCATTGGGAAATCTTTGAAGAAATCAATATGAATTTGGTGGAAGGTGTGGTCATGGTTAGACACAGACACATTTGCATTTCTAAGACTTGACAGACTAGAAAGCCATCTACCATTATAAATGTCTCAAGTTCCTTGAATCATTATTCCACGGTCTACAGTGAAGAGTACCCAGATCTAACTTTTATCTCACTTTACTTTTGAGACAAACTGAGGCAAAGCACAGGGACGCGGGTTTACGGTGGCATCAACACAGAAACAAACGAGAAATCTACTATCCTCCTAGCGGTGCCCTATCCCCACAAAACTCGGTTGCTTTCACGTTAGGGAGGAAGCTAAAGTGACACCTGTCCTTCTTGATTGTGGGCGGGGTGGCCCGGGACCTGGGGGAAAGGAGGCATCCGGAGAAAGTGAGAGCCTAGGCGGGTGGCCTGCAGGAGGAGGTAATGAATAGGGCGACCCGACGAGGCACGGGGGAGACCTTCAGGTCTCGGGAAGGGGGAACTTCTGTGATGGGAACGAAAGAGAAAGGGGATTTAGAGGGCGGGAGGACGGGAACCAGGAGACAGACGGCTGGGAGGACCGGAGGGTTCTCCTCGCAGAGTGGAGCTCACGGGCCAGGGAGGCCTCACCTGCCAGGAGGACGCAGAGACACAGCAGGCGAAGAAGACCCCGACTTCCCAGGTCAGCAGCGGAGCCGCCCCCGGCCGTGGCCATCTTGCGCCTCGGCGGAGCGGAAGCCTCGGCTCCCTTCCGGCCGGAAGTGGCATCTCTAGGCTAGCCGGGCGCCGTCTCGGTGACCAGGAGCTAGTGGCCTCTCTAGGCCACCCGGGCGCCGTCTCGGTGGCCAAGAGCTGCAGGGACCGGAAGTCCGTGTCCGCGGGAGCTTCCGGGAGTCGCGGCTGCGGGCGGCTGACGTGGAGGCTTGCAGCGGGGCGGCGGGGAGCGGCGGGGCGCGGGGAGGACCTGGGAGCCGCGGGCCTGAAGGATGCTCACCAAATTCGAGACCAAGAGCGCGCGGGTCAAAGGTAGCGGAGCCCGGGGGGCTGGGTGTCGGGGGTGCGCTGTCACCGGGGGGAGTGGGCCTACGTGTGGGCCGAACTGGCCCCGGTGCGGACCCAGAGGAAGGGAGGCGGGAGGGCGGTTGGAGCGGCGGGCAGCCCTCCGGCCTGTTCTTGTGCGTTGTCCTTGCGCTTTGATCACCGATAGTGGGTTCCACACCTTGAGGCCCTCCTCCCTGTTCTTCCCCTTCCCCTCCTCACCCCGGGCTGTGTCCAGCCAGCTCCCAAGCCCAGGAACCTGTGGGCTTTTTGAGGACCGTGTTGTAGGGAGTGTCCCGGGCGATCGAGGCTCGACCTCTGCTCTTCGTATCCAAGTCTGTTCGTATCCGAGTCCGCGGCCTCCCCGGAGATGAGCGGCGGCTGCCTCGCTGAAGGAGGCCTTGGCCGCACCAGCTCAACACCGATTCCTCCATCGGCTTTCCTTTCTTACCTGGACACAGGACACGCTAGGATAGGCCTGTAACCCCTGCAGGGTGTGAGCTTGCTGAGGTTGCCAGGTGAACAGTGAATACGTTTTTGGTATTGTCCGTGGTTTATCTGAAATGCAAATTTAACATATTTCCTAAATATGGCAAACCTAGAGTTTGGGGATCAGTGGATGGGGTGGAGGGCAGATGGCTGAAACTGCAGCAGTGGTCTCAGGATGTTAGGATGGGAAAGGCAGAGAAGTAAGGTCTTCTGAAATTTGGAAGAAATAGGTATCTTGACTATTTAGTAAGGTGCAGCATGGCAAGGTGGTTAGGAACTTAGCCTTTGGAGTCAGAAGGGCTTGCTTTGGAATGCCAAAGGTTGGGGAGGGGGGGGTGGTTGTAGGTGGGGCGCCTTATTTAACATTATAAATCTCTCTTTCCTCATCTGCGAAGTGTGAATAATTAACATTCTCTTATAGACAGAATTAAAACGAGAAAGGATATGAAAAGTGCTATTACAGTGCCTGGCATAGACTCGGGCTCCAAACCTAGGGTGCACTTTGGATGTGAGAATGGACGCTGAGCAGTTCTAAGTCTTGTGAGGCTGTGATCATGATGAGCACCGTGACAAATTCCTGGGTGGTTGAAATGGGTCTTTATAATCATTGTATTTTCTGTTCTGCTCCTAATTTTTTATTGGGCAGTAGAGAAGGAAAGTGGGGGAAGGAGGAAGGTGTCAGAATATTTGAGAGTTATATCCATTAATGAGTGTTCCTATGGAACACTTCCCTACAGGAAAAAGGCGAACAAAAAAGTCAATTTAGAGAAGAAATGTTCAATAAATAAATGAAAATATACACCTCACTATACATGTAAAAGTAATACTAAACAGTATTGAATGTAAACTAATTTTAAACAGAGAGAAATTAAATTTTGATAGAAATTTTAAAAATAAAACAAAAATATTATCAGCCTCACTAGTAATGATCTATGTTTCTCTCTCATCGATGTTTCTCTCTATCCCTCTCCCTTCCTCTCTGTAAAAATCAATAAAATATGTATATATATTTTTGAAAGAAGTTTGCAGGGAAACTTTGTTACCTTCATTTCCATAAAGTGATATGGTCTGCATTAAAAATTGGAAAGGATACACTCTAAACTGTTAGCAGTTGTTACTTCCTTAATCTTCCATTTCCAGTCGTGATAGGGACCAGGTTTAGCTTCCCACCTTAAACAACCGCACAACTGAACAAAATGTATAAAACAAAGGATTTCAGACATTGCATGACAGCCACTGCAGGAAAGTGATTCTTGATAGAAGGGAAATAAACAGATGAGTCCTATGGTTGTTTTTAGCTTACTTCCCGGAGAGAGTTTCCAGGCTGCAGTGGAGGGAGGGGAAAGAGCCTTGTGGTCTCATTGAGGAGGACAGAGTTTAGAGTTCAGGGGAGTCAAGACAGCTAGAATGTGCCGGGAAAATACCAGAAAAGAGGGAGGTGCTCAGAGAACACCTGAGTTCTGCAGGGCATCCCGGTAGGCCTTTGAGTACTAATGAGGAAAGACCCAAGGCCTGGGACAGAACCACTGGGGAAAAGAAGGCAGAACTCCCTGGAGCTCACATCGGGCCAGGAATAGTTTGTGTTCCTACTAGCCAACATGGGAAAACCTCCTAATACTACAAGGCATCACACAAAGACCTCAGAGGGCATTGCCTTAATAGTAGCGTCAAATTAAACCTACACTAAAGGCTACTGTGGACCCATGCTAATAAAACTTAGCCTGGTCGGTGTAGCTTAGTGGTTGAGTATCAACCTATGAACCAGGAGGTCACGGTTCAATTCCTGGTCAGGGCACATGCCCAGGTTGTGGGTTCGATCCCAAGTGTGGGGTGTGCAGAGGCAGCTAATCAGTGATTCTCACTGATGTTTCTATCTCTCCCTCTCCCTTTCTCTCTGAAATCAATTTTAAATTTTTTTTTAAATTTCTTTATTGATTAAGGTATCACATATTTGTCCTCAACCCCCCATTCCAATCCCCCACCCCTCCCCACTCATGCCCCCAACCCCCTATTGTCCTTGACCACTGGTTAGGCTCATATGTATGCACACAAGTCCTTCGGTTGATCTCTCCCTTTTATCCCCACCCTCCCTTTGAGGTCCAACAGTCTGACCCATGGCTCCTTATCTCTGGGTCTGTTCTTGTTCATCAATCTACGTTGTTCACCATTTCCCATAGATGATTGAGATCATGTCTTATGTGTATGTCAGCAATGATATTTCAGTTCTGGATGGTGGACAAATGGTGGTAATGCAGGTCTGACCCTCTCTGGTTTGGTCCTGGGCAACCTGCAGTGATCACAGTGCTGATTGCTATTATGGCAAGGCAACGTCAGCCTCTTCCATCTCTGGATTCTTCTCTTTTGTCTTCATGGTTGGAGTAGTCCTGTCAATCCCTCTCTGTTGCCAGAATCCACATAGTCTCGGAGTTGTTTTCTGAAAATATACAAACATATTCTCAACCAAAAGTTAATAAAGGATAAACTTTTTTATAAAACTTAAAAGCAGCTGAAACCAGTTTGGCTCAGTGGATAGAGGCGTTGGCCTGCGGACTGAAGGGTCCCGGGTTCTATTCCGGTCAAGGGCATGTATATTGGTTGCGGGGGGGGGGGGGGGGGGCGGGAGGCAGCTGGTGGATGTTTCTCTCTCATTGATGTTTCTAGCTCTCTATCTCTCTCCCTTCCTCTCTGTAAAAAATCAATAAAATATATTTTTAAAAAACAAAACAAAACTTAAAAGCAAACCTCAAAAGGCTTAACTGATTCCAAGGAACTTAACTGCATCATAAAACAAAGCCCAACAATATTTTAAGGAATGTACCAAAAATCCAGGACCTTATAGCATAAATTCATAATGTCTAGCAGTGAATGAATAAATGAGCCTAGAATTAACCTAAGCTGTTCCTTTTCTATCAGAATTGACAGGAAGTGACATTTGGGGCTTAGCTCATTGGACCATTCTTTTTTTTCCCCCCAGGACTCAGTTTTCACCCCAAAAGACCCTGGATCCTGACCAGTTTGCACAATGGGGTCATCCAGTTATGGGACTATCGGATGTGCACCCTCATTGACAAGTTTGACGAACATGATGGTAAGATAATGGTTTTTAGAAGGAAGTTAAAGATAGAAGTATTTATTGTCTTTGGGAGTAGTTTAAGCCTTGTTTGACATTAATTCCTTAGGATTAAATAATGTGGAGGGAATAGAACTGGAAAAGCCTGAATAAGAACCACCTTGGAGATAAGGAAGCATGTCTCTCTTTAACATATATTGCCTGCCTTCTTCTCCAGGCCCAGTCCGAGGCATCGACTTCCATAAGCAGCAGCCACTGTTTGTCTCTGGAGGAGATGACTATAAAATTAAGGTACAGAGGCTCTGTCATTGCTGGAGGAAAGGACAGAGGACGTGAGGTTTGGGAATTGTGGAAGGGACTAAAAAGCAATAGTACATCTTACTCAGAGAGAGCTCATGATTTTTACTTTATTCAGCAACATTTATTGAGCGCTTACTGTGTACCAGGCACTTATTTTTGGGGAATTCACAAGTAAATAAGAAATGACCTCTGGTCATAAAGATATTTTATTCTATTAGAGGAGATAAATATATACCCAAATAATAGCTGTACAGGTTAGTAAGTAATACAATAGAGAGATAACCAAAGTGAAATAGTGGAGGGCAATTCGGTTACAAAGACATAGAGGCATGACATAGCTTGATACATTTGAGAAACTATGATTAGTTTTGTGTGGATAAAATCTGGAGAAAAGGAGATAAAGGAGTGATTTTAGCACTTTAATTGAAGTGATTATGGAGTTTGCATGCTCAGGAGTTTGGTTGTCATACAGATAACAGGGAGCCATAAAGGGGTTTGTATAGAGGAATGATATCAGATTAACTCATTAAAAAAAAAAAGATTACTTGGGTGGCAATGTAAAGAAGAGATTGGTTGGATGAATTGGGCAAGACAGGAAGCAGAGTTAGGAGACTGTTGTGTAAGTCCATGTGAGAGGTGAACAGTCTGAGCTTAGGCAGTAGCATTTGAAATGGAGAGAAAGATTGATGTGAACACTCAAGAAATGAATCGGTCTTTTGCATGGATATTGGTAGGATAGCAAGGGAAAATAAATGGGATTATATCGGGTTTCTAGTTTAAGTCACTGGGTAGAAGCTGTACTATTAACCAGAATAGGA